GTTTGATAAGCTCATAGTGGTAATAAAATGATCGTAATTCCTATTGTAAATATCTAATAGCATTAACATCCACAAAAATGATAGACCAATCTAGCTGGTTGACTCAGTGGTTTACAACTTGTATGTAGACGTGAGAGGGCAGCTAAAATTCGTTTCATAGTTATAGTATCTAATAGACTTCGTTTAAAAATAAACACTTTTTTTTATAGTGGTATATTGTTGTTTAAAACTGAGAATCACTCAAAATTTAGTACGATTCATAAGATTGTTTTAAGTCTTCTTTTGATTTGAACCCATGAATTATTTCGAAAGTGATGACAAAAAAAAATACGGAAACTTGCACTGATTACGTTTATTTGATAAACAAGTTAGCATGAAGTATTCAACAGATGGTTGTCTTCTTATTCAGTTCCGTTGTCAGAAGATACGTGCACAAGTGCAAATGTTAGTAAAATTATCAATACTGGTTTATTGTAGTATCTTCAAGATGTACAAACAGATTTCCACACAAGGTAAATGAACAAAAAACTGACTAGATTCGAAGATGAAGTTCTGCGAGAATACCGTTAATTGACTAAGGATTACATTATATACAAAAAATATTTAACTGAATGTAACTTTATTATGTGGGTTGTAAGAATCTGGTCTTGATCAAAATAGCATTTTAACTCTCCCTATTGCTTCAGCGAGAAGAGAACAATCCGTTATCAACCAGTGACTAGTTATTGATATAATTTAGCTCAATACGTAAAGTATGTTCAAAGTTATCCTAAATTAAAAACACGTCATTTAGTTAACTGCTGTTCTCAGTTACAAAAATTTGTATTCATCAAGACTCTGAAAGTTTTTGTATGCATAAAAAATGTGAATTGAGGTTTCCAATAGCTTTTACTGGTAGAGGGACTATGTTATTTCAAGTTATTAAAGCATGGGTAAGATTCCATGCCGAAACTTAACATTCGTCAATTACTACCTAAATAGAGAGTCAGATTTGAATAGATTGCAGATAAACCAAGTTTTTGCTTATCCATTAGGGAATCTTTCCAAATAGTTACTGACCCTTTACAGTACTCCACTGATGAAGTTCTTTTGAAGAGTTTGGACTAATCTTCTCATGGTTGATTATTCGATTTTTGCCTAGTGAATCAGTACAGAACATGAGAATCCGACATTGACATTGTTAACTGGTTACAAAAAAGAATATCCAAAAAATATCTGCGGACATACTTTTTCATATTCCACTGTTTTTCTTGTATTTTGAACTAGCGCGCACCGTTAACGTATACTGTTGAGTCGCAGAGATAATCGAGCATTCTAAATAAAACTTAACATTAAGTCGTAAAACAGTTCATACGTCATGTTTAGAGCACCCATCTGTTTGTGGATATAGAAAAAAATATTCTGACGGTTTCGTAGAAATACGAGGGACACAGACTCGACGATTTTCAAACTACCTTCTGGGCAATAGTATTCTTAGGGCTAGAACCCCTTGGTTAAGGTTTTAGGTTTGTAATACTGACTAGCCATGTACCAGGTTAAACCGTCTTTCAAGTCATCCTAGGCTATATGCGGCCGTCTAGCCAAGTTCATTTCGTAGTTCGGAATTCGAGTATTACCTGTTAACTTATGTCTTAGAAGGGTTGAACAAGTGTGTCGTAGGAGAACATCCAATATCAAATATCTTTTTCACGAGCTAGTACAGATCAATTAATTTCCTTGTGCCCGAATTTTGTTCTTTCGGTTCGGTCTCAGGTGATTGGTAGTGTCCAATGAATGGAGGTCCAGCCACTCAACTGTCTTATTCTAGTCATTTGGCAGTTGGTCGTGAGTTTGTTTGTCTCTGGCTTTGAGTGAAAACGTTTATTTCAGGGCAGCAGGGTTTCTGAATACCGGCGACTATCACATTACCAGACCGGAGGTCAATTAGTTGCAATGTGAAGAATAATAAGGAGAAAATTCTAGTGCTAATCAGAAGAGGATTTCAGAACTAAGCAAATAAATGGATAATTTGGTTTATTAATTTGTAGTGGAGATTGTGCGAAAGAACCGAAGTGTAAGCAAGGGAGAGGAAACAGAGATAATAGGCGAGATAGATTAGATGAGTGATCGGAGATGGAAATAATAATGACTAGAGGTCTCGAGATATGCATCAGGCACAGCTTGTCCAAGACGGAGATGATTATCCGTATGTCAGTATGTGTTTATCAAGTCTTTTCATAAAGCTGTCTACTGAGGGGGGTTGTGGTCATCTCAGATGGGAAAGCATTCCAAGTTTTGACGACTCTTAATGAGTAAAAGTGTGCACGAACCTGGATTTTCGATTCTGTATGCAAAATTATTCGAATATTGCCTCTAGGGGAGTGATGGTGCTCACGTTGGGATGGTTTAGCGTGCTTGATGCGTCGTACGCCATAATCAGGTCACCTTTAGTTCTCCTGTAACGCAGGGAGTATAATCCTAATTACTGGAGTCCATCTTCGTAAGTTATATTTTTCAACACTCTCACCCATTTGGTTGCTCGCCTCTGCACTCGATCCAAAAGATTTATGTCTCTTTTAAGGATAGGTGGTGGGACGACTTTGTGAACCTCAAGGCGTGGGTGCGCGGATGTCTAAGATAATATTAAGAATAATTCTGTGGCGACAGCACCAAATTGTCCTTGCACAGAGTAAAAAGTTGTATTTGACTTGTCTGCGTCCCCTATATAATGCAGGTTTGTGTGGAGGCTTTCTGTGGTTAGTAAAACGAGATCGCGCTCTGAGGAGACATTAGGGAGTGGACTACCATTGAGGGTGTAGATCGTTAGCATTATGTGTGACAGAATGTAGATGACATGCCACCTCGATTTGTTTACTTTTGAACCGTTTTTCACTGCCCATTCATCAATGGACGTAAGGTCCTTTTAAAGGTCAGTCAACTCCTCTTCGCTTCTTATGGACCTACAGATCTTCACATCGTCTGCGTAGGCCAATGCTGGTGAGCTAACTAAGCCTAACAGGCCGTTAATAAATATTAGGAAGAGAAGTGGACCTAAGATAGTCCCCTGTGAAACTCACAATGTGGATGCACGCCAGCTCGCGTGCACTCTACTTACCTTGGTGCGAAATATTCTAACTCAAGGAAGTTCCTGAGCCATAATAGGAGTGGGTCAGTGAAGCCCATTTCTGCAACTTTTGAGATTCGACGTGCGTGGTACTTTGTCGAAGGCCTTCGCAAAGTCGAAAAATATTACTTGCCTTGGTATTTTAACAGTCCAGGCAGGATGACTAACTTTTCCAAGATTAGATGCACACGATCAGCCTTTCCGAAACCCGTGGTGAGCATCATGGAGTATTTTATTCTCATCCATGTACTACCTTATTTGTTCGTTCATATTTTCGACATACGTTTATTTTTTCGGTTGATTATTAATCCTATAAAAAAGCGTTTCAGGCTTTCTGACTGCATTTGAATTTTAAAAAGGTTGAACACCGTGATAAAGCTTTGTTCACTGAACGAATGCGGTAGTCGTATTTAACTGCTACGTTACTTCTAAGTGACCTTCACTTTGCTGTAAGGATAGCTTTTTTTTTATAGACTGCCATAATTATAATGAAATTTTTATTCTTCTCTGTTTGGACTCATCTATATCTATCCATATATCTAACCATCTATCTTTACAAAATCGCTTTGAGTAATTCAGGTATTCCTATGATGCGGGTATCCAAAAGCCCATGTAGCGATGTGCCTTAAGCCGAAAATCCTTATGTTCGCCCCACCTGTTTCGGTATCTAATTACGTATTTTACCTATAGTCTTCATATTATGGTGCCTGCAATTCAGTAATCGCTTGTTCACATTATAAACTTATAAATAGTGATGGAATAAACATACTCCTCTTTGGTTGGTTGTAAGGCAGCATATTTTGCGAACGGATCATCATAAAAATACTTCATTATTTCGATGGACTCTGTCTTTTGATCTTTTATTCAGTAACTGTCATAGACCTGATGTTTTGGCTCTTTCTTGATTCAGGTCAATTGGAGTATGTTTCGTTCCTGTTGATATAGATTTTAAAACAATAAGTAATTGTCAGTTTCCATCTCACTAACGGGCGGGGTTATTACTTATGAACGACTTTTGAACAAGGCCTAAGTGATCTCAAAAAATACCTCACATTATCTAGAATTTAAAGGTTACTGTTCTTGTGAAAATTTCGCTTAGGATCAAGTTGACAGTTAGCGTTAGCATTAGAATTGTCGTTTAAATCACGAACTCACGTTGGTTTTGACGTCAAAACGCTATTTATTCATGTTGCTAAATAATTTTGAGTCAAGTTTCAGGACTTGTGATTTTAATTTCATGGTTTCGTACACGAATCTTTGTCACGCTTATTTATCCATCTGCGGTGTACTTTTTTGCGACTCCACATAACATGTCGGGAAAAGTATCTTAGTTAAAAGTGAATCAGTTTAGTTTCGTACAAATGCTGTTGATTTATTGGATTTTCTTCGTTGTCTTTGCAAATTTAGTCTTCATCAGTTTTCCGCTTTATACTTCAAAGTAGTGATAAATTCATGCGTTACATTGTATTTAAAGAGTTTCTGGCCACAAACAACTATTATTTTACTTTATTCCCTTCAACATTTATTTTTCCTTGATATCTGAACTATTTCCTGTTTTTTATTTTCTCTATATAGAATGCAAAGAAGTTTGGTAGAATGTTCAGTTAAAATAACTGAGATATGTCTAAACGCCCAGTGCGCTCACATACGATTTCCAAATCATGCAGGATACAAGTAGGTTTTATAAAGATCAATAACGAACTTTTCACATTTGATTATTCTTAAAGTTTCTTGTATTGTTTGAGTCTTACAATCAGTGTATTATGTTTTGAAATTTGTTTAATTTTGAGTAATGGATAACTGGTTCATTTTTTTAGTAGTTTTACTCGTTCAGAATTAGGATTAGTTTCATCCATTGAACCAAAGTATTAAAAAGGCCTGTTTGTTAGGAAGGAGTTAATATGTAACTCAACTGACTGTTAATATTTATCAGTCAAAACAGTTTCAAGTTATCGATATCTTAAATTGTATACATATATTTTAAACGAAATAATACCGAATCTAGTGTGTTGGAATTCGACCGTTGGTCAGATAAGTAGGCTGTGTTCATCTCAGTATATTTTGATGCTTTGTTTGGCTTATTTTGCGTTCAAAAATGTTTATTTTTAGTCTTGTTTTTATCCCTTGAACCAACTCCTATCAGTCCTACTTGGTTACTATCAGTACTAGTTCTTAGGCAATCATAGCAAGTAGTCATATCAGTGTTCTATTCAGTCATAGCACTATTTCTCCAAAACATGTAGCTTATGGTGCCCACTCAACTGACTGACACATTTTACCAGTTGCATTCATTATTGCCTCCATACATCTGCCGATAAGTTAGTCTGAGAAACATATATTGACCTTCCAGTTAGCTGTTAGAGATATGAGGGTGGATGTCACTTTTTGGCTGTCCACACTGTGGAAGGGTATTTTTTAAGGAATCTGAAAAGAAGTTAAGTTAGCGTTGGTCTTAGTAACCTGAAAGCTCGTTCGCAGAGCTCAAAAGAAGACTACTTTAGGCTGGTCGCTCACTGTGGAAATTTTTCGATGTGTTAGCTCTATTCTTCAAAAGACCCTACTACCGGAGATGGAAATCCGTGGAGTAAGGTCAGATGTGACATTTTCGGGGTCGAACTGTTGAATTGTAATGTTACTTTTATCGAATTTAGCAAATATCAAACAAACACTTGCCTCTTAACTTATTTCTATTACTTTGAAGGTGGTGTATCTGTCAGCCAGTTACAACGTAGAACTTCCTACATGAGTACATAAGTTCAGGTTGCCATACGGCATCATCACAGAGACGCAACTGTCAGTTGAAATCCAATAGTGGTAGAGATAGTAGAAATATTAGCAGTAATGGAGAAGATTAGGGTTCGAAGATATTATTCGAGAAGTAAAATCTAATAAAATAAACTTAAAAAGAAAAAGGTAAAGTGATGAGGAATTCAGAAGGCTAGAATTTGAGAGAACACGATGAATGAATGCACTTGTGCCATTGCAAATGATTTTGACCCATGTCGTACAAAGTCGCTAACCATTGGTGACTTTCGTCTCACGGACCCCAACCAGGTAGCCTACATTTGCCAATATGACTCAGTCCACTTGTTAGTGATTTTATGTATTTCTTCCATGTTTTGGTTTGGCCGCCACTAGCTTTCTTCCAACCTACTCCTTCACCCTAACCCTCAGACCTTGAGTAGCTGCTTTTAGTCTCATAGTTCTCCAACCGACCTGCCTGACATAGTAGAACCTACAGAAACATATGTTCTAGCCAATATAGCTCGGTTGGGTCATCACGACAGGCAAGCCCGACCACCACATCGAGGTAACAGCTTCGGTCGGTGAAGGTGGTGTATGCCATGAATCGACTGTACTTGCTAAGTTTTGTATCTAATAAATGGATTGAAGAGACATCTGCGTGAGTAACTACTCGGATCGACATCTCTAAAACAGATTAAGTTTATTAGAATGTATTATCTTTTTGTTTGAAAGGTATTAAACGCCATAGTTTCTGAACTAAATGATTTTATGTGGTTACCACTTCGTTTTGAGGCTTTTAGGCGATCAGTAGAATGCATAAAATTTCATCTCAAGGTGTTTCAACTCCACATTAGTGTACCTGATAGGGTAGAGAATTCATCTCAGTTTTACTTGACCGTTACCTTAGACGCTTTCAGTATACTATTTGTGCTTGAGGATTCGGAGCACATATTTTTATGGAAACCAATCTGTATGTTGTCTTAGTTTATTGTTAACAGGTATCATTAAGTATGACCATTTACGTGGATGTGTTAGCTTAATGGTAGTTAGTTTTGATAATTTTTTTTCAGTCATATTTGTTATTTTATCACATTGGATCTTTATATTTCTGATAGGGTCATAACTATCAAACATATTTTAAACTCAGTTCAATAAATTACTTTTTTCATTATTTCTCCGTCTTAACTAGCCAAATGCTCAGGTTACACTTGAACGGGTAATAGGTTTCACACTGAACAATAATTGCGCAGTTGCTTTCTCTGATAAAACTGGTCTTATTGCTCATGCAGCTGGGTGAGTTACATTTAAGTACTTTGATTGCTCATATGACTTATCATTCATATGAGATGTGTAAGTCAGTCAGTAAATTTTATAGTTTGGTTAACTAGGGAATGTGATATGCAAAAAACCTTATTTTTTATCAAATATGGTAAGGACTATACTACATTATTCTTTTTCTTAAAAATCGTATTCGCTCAGGTGTTTAAACTTCCACTGCCAATATACACTTGTGCATGTAAAAATAATGCTTTTATGCTATTTAAAGTCGTTTGTGTTAAGAGATTAGTTAAAAAACGCCTGAGATTTTAACCACCAACGAGCTGCTCTCTTGCCTAAAGAAGCTTGGATTACCTTACGAACTTCAGATCAAGGATCAGTCTTTTTATAAACTAATGCTACGTCGCAGTTTAATAAGGCTTAGTTCTTTTTCTAATTCACTCCTACTTTAATCGATTATGATGAGCAGAAGTGAAGGATCCTTGGTTACTTTATATGTTTTTACTCATACTTGACTAATAATTTATCATTTGATAGATAATTCAGATACAGTATTTTAGTCGAATAATTTTTTAAACATAAATTAAAGGTGTGTATATATTTTATATAGTCGAATACTCAGTTGGCCAGGGGTTTTATTTTAGCCAGTTTACTTGTTCAGGATTCATGAATCTGTCACAAGTGGAATTTCAGATAGCTTAACTCAATCACGTTACTATTTTTTCGAATCAACCAAACATCAGCTGGGTTACCTAAATTCAACTACCTTGATCGATACCGGTTTACAATTTTATCTATACAAAAAAAATGCAGAATAAGCACTTTGTTGTTTCATCGCCGACTGTCAGGACTTCGAACACGCATATAATCAATAATTTGCAGCCCACAATTATCTTTTACTTACAGTTACCATATTTTGCATGTATTGGATAATATTAACTGAAATTTAGTTTAGTGTACTCTTGGAATTTGTGTAGTTGGATAATGTCTTCGGCTAATATGGAAATTTATGTAAAATGGTATTAATCAGCAGACTGAAACATTATGTTGTTTAGGTGAATAATTTTTAAAATTGTTTCAAACTATTACCTAATTATAATTTTGTTTGTATTTATAAATAGATGTGTGACAGTTCTTCACTCATTCGAAAATGAACGACAACAATTCATACAAAGTCAAAGTCGTAAAGCTATTACAGCAATGGATTTTAGCTCAGATGGAAAATATTTGGCCACAGGAGAGGTTAGTGAATTTATTTTAGAATTAAAATAAATTCTAATACTTTTTGCATGATTGTACTTGAAATTTTACACTTCAGTCAACTCTTGTTTTTTGTTTGTTTTATCACATAAATTTTGAGTGTATTTATCTATGAAGTTTACATTTAAAGAGGTAGATAGAGAATTTCATTGGTATGGTAACTATCGGTTCGGAAATTGTAAGAATTCGATAATTTGTAAGTAGTTTGCTATCCAGACTAATGTCAGATCGACAAATCATTGATTTCTTGAAAGCACTACCCTAGTTTGATATGAAATCGCTTTTAAATTCTACACAATTTCTCAGTTAGTCAGTCATAAGCGACGTCGAACTTGACAAATGGATAGCGAAGTAAGATGAAGATCATCTGAAGTATATATATATATTTGATATTTTAAGAAATCAATAAATCTAGTTAACCATAAGACTCTTGTACTTTCATTGTCATGTGTCCTATTATCTTTTGAATGTGAATTGTTTCAGTCAATTTAGATTAGATTAGTTGTAACAATTGTATAATTTAAAGTAGTTGTTAGTACATCGCAGTCACTACTCACTTTATCCTTTGATTATTTTCGCCATTATGTCATCGAAAAAAATCATAGTAGTTAAAGTATCAAATTAGATACAATCTATGGTAGGAATGATTTGATCTCAGGTCTTCTAGGTAGCTCTGTAAGTTGTCATTATTATTGATGATGATAATATAAAACTAAGAAAAGCAAATAAGCAAATATCAAAGAGAAAAATTATATTTGTAAACGAAAGCATTACACTTAATGGAATCTAGTCATACGAATGATTTTCATGGCATATAAGAATCCTTCGAATAGACTTTGGTTCATGCGAAGAGAAGGAAAATCCAAACAGTATTAATACGAGAGATAGAATATAATTAGCTGTCACAAGACGACTGACTAATGATTAATGAGTAAACTTGAACTTCTTTTTATTTATCACTTATTCTATGAGCAACAATGATCACGTTCATATGCTTGAATCATTTTGTTTATCTAAATGTATAACCTTTATTAATTTTCATATAAGATGCCTTGAAAAGTAATGTATATGACCAGATTTTGTTCTAAATATATAGCGCAAATATATCATATTTTTCAGATCGACCCCGTCTTCTCATTGTACTTTGAAACGATTCATTTAAAGCTAGATGAAAGTTTATATAAAATAAACAAATATTTTAGAACAGGATTATAATTCTGAAACGGAATCAATCGGATTGATAAGTTCATGCACTATTCTGACAGTTTCTCGACTACAACTTCAATACTGTAATTAAAATTATTTCTATCCTCTTATTTTCTATACTACGCTAAAATGAAAACACCAGTTTTATGGATGAAGCTATTTGATGTTAACCCAGTTTAATCAATCTGAAATGCAACAAGTTTATCGATTATCTATAAATATATAAAAGTGATCAGAATATTTGTATTGGGTATCTGTCATTTGAACACGAATCAACGTAAAAATGTATTGGGATATTCTATGAACAAAATTCCCGTTGACTATTAGCTTACCTTAAGAAAATTCCAACGTGGTTGACCTGACTGGAGATTTCATATCCCCCAACATCAATGAGTTTCATTCACTAGATTCAAAACACTATTAAGCTGGTTGGTGAACGTACGTCAATATTCTGTATCATTGTGTAGGGAAGTTCTGTCAGAATAGATAAAAAGGAATGCTACGTTAGAGTGCCTGACAGAATTATAAATATATTTCAAGGTAGTTTAGTTCATCTTAAACAAATAGTTTGCCAATTTCTTAATTCAGCTGTTTGTAAAAATTAGTATTTTCAGTCTGTAATACTGTGTATGTTTTACGAATTTCATGTTAAATAAAGACTGGCGAATCAACACCGCAATGTTTCTACTGAAACACATAAAACTCAATTTTTTATAGCCTCGTTAAGTCCCTTGTTATAGTAGTATCAGTCTTATAATTCAAGGTCAACCGAGATTGATTGTGTCCACTTGTTGACGTTCGTATTTACGAAACAAAAGAGAACTCCACATTTGTTGCTTTATGCTAATAGATATTACTACTTCAGCATATTTTTATTCCAAAAATATCATTTACTGTAGTTTAACTATATTTTTTATGTACAATAAAACTTGTCTACATTATTGTGTATATGCTTAAGTACAGTGGATAAATATGTGTAAATATTTTTCGAATCATCAAGCGTATCAAGTACATCATCCGTTGATAATCTCTGATTTTTCTCCTTGCTTGGTTGACTTTAGAAATTGCATATTTCAGTATTGAGTGTCTGATAATTGTTTGATGATTTTTGTTCTATTATCAATGTACTTTAGTTCATATTTTTAGTGTTCCTTTTGTCGGTTAAAATCTGTACTTTGCAATTTTTTTCTCATTAGTTTACATTGTAGTAAACAAATAACCTTGAACTAAAATTATTCCTTCAATTTTTATTGACTATAGTAATAATCCTTTTAACGCTTACTACCATTAATATAGATATACGAATGTACACTACTTTTTAGCAATTTTGTAGTTTGCAGAAATATTTTATACCATATAACATTTCTTTCTAGATGTTTTCTTCAATTTTAAATGGTTGATAGAGACTTTCGCATCGTTTTAAGATAATTTTCATTACGAAAATTTGAACAATAATTGTCTTCCTGAACCTTAAAGCAGCATTTGACTCTGTTGATCGTGAGGTTCTTTGGCTGTGTCTGTCATCAAAAGGTGTACAGGAGAAATACATAAACTTTATAAAAGCTCTCTACTCGAACACTACAGGTTGAGTTGGAGCTTATGGCTAACGGACATCGGAATTGGTTACTTAAAGTGGTGTTCGTCAGGGCTGTCTAATTTCTCCATTCTTGTTTAATTTTGTCATAGACCTGCTTCTAAATATAACGTTATTTTGGTGTCGATTTTGTACCAGGAGATTCACTGGTTGACTTAGAATATGCTGATGACAAAGTTCTACTTGGCGAGGACGCTGACAAAATGCAGAGTCTTCTGACTACCCTAAGTAACGATGCAAGTATGTTCGGGTTGCGATTTATCCCTCGAAATACAAAGTGTTGCTTCAAGATTGGGATGCATCGGCACCTGAATTAGTGATAGGGATTGGAGTAGTCGAGCTTGTAGACCGCTTCACTTATTTGGGGTCTCATCAGCGGTGATGGCCTAGTGACTGACGAAATCTCAGCACAGATACAGAAGGTTCGATTGGGTTTGTCAACCTGCGTTACCCATGGCGTCGGCGGGATGTCTGTTTGCTAACCAAAGGACGAGTGTACTGCTCATCAGTTCGCTCCGTCCTACTTTCTGGCTGGGAAACATAGCTAGTCAGAGTAGAAGATCATAGGTGTCTCCGAAACATTGCTCGTGTATCCTGGGACAACCGAGTAAGCAATGCTGTTATTAGAAAAGAGTACTAAGTAGGGGTGGCAGATCATTTGATGAAGCATTGAAAACTCCATCGGTTTATGTGGTTCGGACATGTGTTACATATGCCCAACCATCGACTGTCTCGACTAGCTATGTTTTGTGGTGTAGCAGTAGGTTGGAAGAAAGCTAGTGGCTGCCACAGCAAAACATGGCATAAATCCATGAATTCACTGATAAGTGAACTGAGCCATGTTGGTAGATGTAGACTACCTGGTTGAGGTCCGCGAGATAATAATCGATGGTTAGGGACCTTGAACGACATGGCTCAAAATCGTCTGCAATGGCGCAGTTGCATCTACTTTTGGTGTTCTCTCAAATTCTAACCTTCTGAATTCCTCATCACCTCTGTCTTTCTCTTTCTAAAGTTGTCTCACTGAACTATACTTCTTGAATAATCCCGTCGAATCTTAATCCCCATTACTGCTAATACTTCTACTACTACTGCTATGGGGTTTGAATTGATAACTATATCTCTGTGCTAATGTCGTAAGGCAACTTGAACTTACGTACGTACGACGTTCTATGTTGTTGTTGACTGACTGACGAAAATTTCAACTATTGTGTCCTGCCAAATGTTGATGGTCTTTGGTAAGTACGGTTAAGGTGTCCTAAAGTTGGATGAGACATGTAGTTCTCCAGTTGACGTCAGTGCATAGTGAAAATCGCCCGTAAATTTGCCTTTGTTTGATAAACATATACAGCCGTTACCATTGACTATTTTGGCGGATAACTTCCTAGCAGTGCCTTCGAAATCTCATTCGTGTTTTATCGAAGAGACCTGATAACCAGTGCTCATATCAGGCCTTAAGTTTAATTAGAAAGTAGTTCAGGCAGTTGATAAAATACCTGTAATCTGTGTTGTACACACTTGATAAAAATTGGTTCTGCTGCTCAAGTTTGTGACTAGCCGTCATAGGGAGCATTGTGGGTCTAGTGGATCCTGTTTATCAAACTGATAAAGTTATTTCTTAAGGAGTTTGGTTCATAACGTGGAAACAATATTTTTTCAGCAGTGACACCACACGATATTCTTGTTTTATTTCCGTTTTATGTATGTTTGATTTCATTTTACTATGAATATATTTTCTATATGTTATTAATTGTTCTACAGATTTTTAGTCGTCTTTACGATTATTTTGATTGAAATTATTAGCCGATCAATGTTAGACCACCTGGAAACACTATACAGGTGTTTCATCCTAGTATAAGACTTCTTCAGTGCACATTCACGACCCCATACGCGGAGATCGAACCCAGAACCTTCAGTCTCGTGCTTGAACGCCTAACCTATTGACTAGTGAGCTGGAATCTAACAGTGTTAATGTCTAACTTCAATCATCCCATCATATTTTGCGACTATTGTTTTATATTCGTGAAATCATAAATTAACTCAACTGAGGCATTTACGTTGGATTTCAGTAGACCACGTCTTATAAAATGGATTTATACTGAACCTAACTATGTATTCCTTGTTAAATCTTCGTGTTATATTTCAGAAACTTTTCCGATAATCGTTGTTTATTTTATTTGTA